GACTTGACACCCGACACACACTACTGTGTCTCCTGATAATCAGAATATTTGTGTAATATCTTGGTGGGTATATATCCCGAATAGATACACAACTGCCGCTTACATATATTATTTCAGTTCTTAAGTCAGTTCTCTTGTGATCGAAGTTGTTTATATCCAAGGTAATCATTTTTTCCATTTTATTTAACGTTCTATTCTTTAAAAAATAAATGAAATATCAAAGCTCGTAAAATGTATAACAACTTGAGAGAGATAAGACCAAAAACGAGTATAAAGAATAAATACTTGCATTTACAAAAAAGTTTATGTATTGAAACAACAATCTTGAATGCGAGTCGATAGTAACTACAATTTTAATAATTAACTTAAACGTTTCGGACTGCACTGAGCCTTCCTCAGTAAATAATTCGCAAAAAAATAACAAGTATAAAAGTATTTAAAGTGAAGATCTAAATCGGTGACGGGTACGCACTCACAAGAGTCGGCAAACGTCTTCGTAATCGATGCACAGTCATTCTTTTAATAAAATTGTTAGCAATTATTCATTGTTTGTAGGTGAGAATAAGTTGAGTCTTGAGAGGCATAAAAAACAATCTTGATGTCAATATAACAAGTCAGAATTAACATATGAGTGTGAATCTAAAGAGAGAAAAATGGAAATAATGAAGAGAGAAGAATGGAAGTAAAATAATAGCGGTAGTCAAATGATATGACATATTATCTCTGTTAAACTGTAACTCAACTCACTCTGAGTGTCGATAGAAAATTGGTCAAATCGCAAAAGCTATGCAACAATCACAAAAAGGCGCCGTAATTAAGAGATGTAATATCAAAAGCAAAAATAAATGCTAAAGCTGGCATTGGGCAGACAAAATTATAAAAAATAAAAATAAGGAACCAACGAGGGAAAGGGTTCCTCCTAAGAGTTATTTATAGTTATTGTTATTTATTTATTCGAAAAAATACCGAGAATATCAAAATAAAAGTCACTGAGCAACTTGATGTCTTTGTTCAAATTAATGCCTTTCCTTTGTTTTTTGATATGTATCATCTCTAAAATCAATCTTTTTTGATAATTGGACTCGAAATTTAGAATCCTCATCTTGTCCCAGTCGAATCTATGATTTTTGTTAGTAATATGTTCAGAGATGACATGTTTAGATAGGTTAGATTTTATATTGTAAATATGTTCTCTAATTCTGGTTTTCGATAATCTGTTTTCTGTCCAACATAAGAAGCTTCACAATGCATGCATTCTATCTTATATACAACATTGTTATTCGTCAATGTCCGGTTAGTATCTTTAGGGCCTCTTATAAATCGACTTAGATTATTAAAAGCCCTGTATCCTATTGTAACCTCCGTTTTTTATGGCCGACGCAACAGAATCAGAGATGCCCCTCAGATAGGGAATGACAAAAAATCTTTTTTTATTATCATTGATGGAATTCTCTTGTGCTATGTTGTCAATACACGTATCTCTTTTACTCAATACTCTTTGCCACAAAACAAAATTTTAAGTCTGTGGTTTATTCTATTAAAAATAATTGCTAACAATTGTTTAACAAAATGCTAATACATAACTCAAGTTTTTTTGCAAAAATCATGAATATGATAACAATACAGCCCTATCAATTAAACTGTAAATTGATTCAATTTTATGGGAAAGTGAGTGATTTAAAAAATATGAGAGAATTCTCCCGGAAAAAGTCTTTTTATGAAACCAATCGATATATATTATGTTATCAATGATTGATAAAGTGAGATCTAAAAAATTAATGCTGCGATTAGTCTCAAGTTCCACCGTGAATTGAAGATGTCCATGGTAGTTGTTAAATTTTTCTAAAACTAAGAAAATGATCCCTGTCTATAGTCATAATTATGTCATCTACATAATAATAGAAATATAAAGATGGATGCACATTGACGGAATGTAAACAATGTTCCTCGAGATCCTGCATAACAATGTCAGCAATGATGAGGGACAGAGACGACCTCATCGAAATATCGAAGGTTTGTTTGTAAGTTGTATTATTAAAAGAGAAGTAAGTTGAAGATAAAACAAATTGTATTGCCATTAAAAATTCTTTTTTGAGGATGGCAGTCTTATTTTTTATAAACGATCATCTACCATAACACTGCTAATAACAAGATCCAGAGGAATGTTCGTGAAAAGGGACACCGTATCGAGTGAGATTATTATATGTGAGTCTGGAACTCTCTATTAGAAAGCTCGTGACACAGATCAAAGTTGTTATTCACATGGTTGCTCAGAGGAGGATGTTACCAGAAATAATTCTGTAGAGAAAGAGAGCAATTGATAGAGAGGAGTATTAACAGAGAAGACAATAATACGAAGTGGAAAATTATCTTTGTGAATTTTCGATAAGCCATATACCTTTGGTAAGCCTCGCTCTTAATCTGAGCATTTCAGTCTCCGATATATAGCCTCTATTGCATCATTTCTTCAGAAGATTATTTAGTTCTTTTTCAATGGAGAAAATAGGATTCCTTTTAACTTCTGTGTGTTTGTCAGACAATAGTTCTTCCATTTTGTTAATATGTCCTACCAGAGCAATCGTTACGTTGCTTTTATTAGCTCTTGTAAAAATAATTGGGATTATTCTTTCAAAACAATTCCGTAGATTTACAGGCAGATAACAGCGCATTATATATTCGATAATGTTTGTAGTTTGATTCTTGTAACAATTGGTGGAAAAGAGGAATCTTGTTACGAATTTTGACTTTATGATTTTGATTGTCAAAACTGCAAAATTTTGTATTGCTCTCGATATCCTTAATTATCTCGTGGATTGCGTATTTCTCTTACTTTCTTCTGACTGGAAAGCAGAAATTATTACCTAACTGCAAGAGGGAGGAAATTTCGTTCGAAATTTCACTGTTGCTGAGATTGACAAATCACTTATCATTGGTGTTAGAGAGAAAGTCGAAAATTTTTTTGAAAAAATTTTTGAGGATCGACGATGTGGACCGATTCCATTTAAGATGAAATCAAGAGAAGAAACCGAGGAGTCATTAAAGGAGAAAATAACATCCTTTATTGTTGTATTTCTGTCTATGCCAACAAATAAGTTTATAGGTATAATGTGAAGTGTATGATTTTGTTTAGATTTCTTTAAAAGCCAATCCAATTTTTTATCATGAGAAAATTTTAGTTTAAGTTTGAGTTTGTTGAAAAGGAAAGAATGGTGTCTCCAAATATTTATTAAAAGGGAATCAGAAAATTCAGAAGCCATGATATAAAAAACATCAAGAAGCTTAAGTTTCAGGTGATTAATTATTTTATATAAATAAAAAAATCTCAAGATTCAGAATTCTTGCCTTTGATCTATGTAGCAAATCCTCAAATTTTCATCATAATTTATAATGTAATGTAAAATTACATTAGATTTAAAACAATTTTTTCTATCTTAGATTTAAACTATTATTTTCAATGTTACATAAAGTTATTGAAAATAATTATACAAATATATATTATTTTTTAAATACATTTAATTATTTTTCATAAAACTGTAGTGCATGCAAATTTGAAGTTATCTTGATTACAAAATCAAAAATCATATAAGACATTCAAAGGCAAACATAAAAGTTAAGATAAAGCATTCAATATTGAGAATTTTCAAAATATTTTAATTTCTATATTGTTCTATATTGTACAAAAGTTAAGAGTTAAAATATCCTAAAAGTTTTCAACATTGAATACTTTATATTCGGTTTTATATCCGCATTTCATTTAATTTTTATATGCTTTTTATGTGACTTTTATATATGATTTTTACAATAAAGGTAATCTCAAATTTGCAAGTGATACAGTTTTATGAAAGCAAATATATTTCGACATCTTTAAGACATCTTATATCTCGATTTTCAGCTTTGTATTATCTAAATTAAGTAATTTTCATAATTTCTTATAAAATATTTACAAATCATTTTTAATCACTGAATCACGTATAGCAAATATAATAAGTACAATATCAAGGCAAGGAAGCTATAATTATTGATTGAATATTCATAAATTCTTAATATCACATTTAAATTGTTTATCAACTTCTTATTTCTTTTTTATATTAAACATCTTTAAATATTATTCATTAACTTCATATTCAAATTCTATCAAAATATGAGTTTCACAAATTCCAATAAAAAATTGTTGCAACTACTATGCTGATGAACTATTCTGTCCATCATTATACACCAATAAAGCATATACTGAATTACCAATATTAAAAATGTACAGACATATTGTTTTATTTTATTAAAAAATAATAAAGATTTAATGAAAAAAATGTTACTCTTTTCAGATGTAATCCAAGTTACATTCAAATATACAAATGAGGAAATTGCAACCCCAATGAAAACATGACTTGCCTATGCAAAAGAACGCATGGGAAAAGAAAAGCAAAAGGAAGCAGAAGATACTTTAGAAAAGGGAAATAGAAAATGCTTATTATATTCCATCTTTATTTTTTTGTCTATCAATCTATTTTTTTTGTTATGCGTGATCAGAAATAAGTGTTATTTGTTACAATATTTCTTTATTTTTTTTTTAATTTTTAATTCTCGTCGGTATGATTTAAAAGAGAATAGATTTCTTGCGAGACATGTCATTGAGTTCAGCTCAAATGTACAAATAACACATTAAGCAATGTTTGTTACGTGCAAAGATATTTAATTTTGTTTACTTTTCATAATTTTACTTAACTTGTTTTTGAAAAAGATGACAGTCATTTTATATTGTTTTTTCTCTTTCATTCTTTGAACAAAAAAGTCGATCTCTTTATTAATATTATTTAGATTACTTTTAATATTACATTATATACTGACATGATATTTAAGGCGAAATTTTTTAAATATTACATAAAATATGTTTATACATATGTTTATACATATGTTTATACAGTATAATATACACAATGTGTATAATACATTTGACATATTTTTTTAATATAAAAATACAAATAAAAACATATATTTCTAGAATATAAAGGTACAATTATAATTTAATCCCATATATTATTTTTTTTTTATCGCGAGGTGGAAAATGCGTTCTTTACGCACACCTCGGAAACCGCTTTCCCAAGGTAATGTGGGACTCAGCACACCTGCCACTACCAACTAAAAATCACCTCAGTGCAAATTCTCAATGGACTTTAAAGGGATGGACTCCGAAACACCAGAGGTATAACTTCAGGGTCTATCCAGTCTAAATCCATATACCGAACCCATCCTAATGCGGCTCTAAAAACATACATTTTCTGTTTCAGGTTTCACTTCAAGGACAACACAGGTGGAGGATGACCAGTCAAGATCAGCCATTCTGCCAACAGAGGAGGACGAACACGGGACGGATCAAGATGAACGAACACAAGATAAATCACAACAGGATCTATTCAACCGTACACGCACACCGGGGAAAAGAAGATACATACATATACACAGAAGAACATACATGGACTTATATTTGTATCCGGTGACCGATTGACCATGCGGGAGATCAGCCGCCAGCCGGTGAGTCAAGCGTCCAATGTAAGAGTTGAAGGCTCTGACCTACGTCGCAATCTCATCCCCCTTCCATCCATCTCCACACAGCAAAAAAGTACGCACTCACACATACCATTCATACCAAATAAAGACAACAACTAACATAAAACATAATAAATACTGCAAATGAAATATAAACATAATTATATGTGAATAAACATCCAAAAAGTCCCAATCGCAAAGTCCCATAAATAAAAAGGACTAACTAACGTTTCTAAATAAAAATAATACATCCTAATAACTTAACACAAAATAATAGTACTAACATATGATCAATACACATCCATAAATATGTCATAACAGATAGTCGCAGAAGTTACTTAGTTAACCTCCATTTGCACGTCCGAATTCGGTACAGTCGACTGATCAGGTACAATTTTTCTTTGGTTTGAAGCTGACTTCTTCCTTACGCTATAACTCCCAGCTTCTTTAACCGCCCTACAATTGTAACGATCAATTCAGTGATCGGACGAAAACTCTCCCTCATGGCAGACAATGCATCTGAATGAATGCATTGCCACAGCGCTTGACGGAATGTCCCTCCTCCCCGCATCTATAGCAAACCCTCGATCTTCCAGTATTATTACATTTCGCCCCAAAGTGTCCAAATTCCAGGCACCTGTAATATTGTTGGGATTGATCTTTAAGAAGATCAACTCTGACAATCATCCTACGGAAATTTTCTTTATTTTAGCCAATACAAGCGCTGCCCTGAGTAGGCACTTGATCCACACTATATTGAATCGATTTGACAATCGTTTGAAAGTTTTAAAAGATACCTCCTCGCTTTTACAACCTCCAAGATTACAAATGACTTTAGCCACTTCTTCCTTATCTATAGAGTTATCAAATCCGACAAGCTTAACTATTGCCGTTCTCACTGGCCTTAATACTAGGGCTGAGAAGTGCTCTGGCCTTCGCCGCTAAAGCATCAACTTTCCTATCATTGTTACTATCATATATTTCTACAAGTAATCTCCCTGATTGAGAATACCTAATAGAGATTTTGTCAATATCTAATTCGCTGAGATCAAAATACAATTTCTAACCTTCCTAAGCGCCGCGCAGGATTCCTTTTCATTCTTTCCACTAAGCGATATTGCAGCCGACCTAGGGTGCATTTCGTTATTCACTCCAAGTATCAATATTACAAATAACGTTCCAATAGAGAGCAGTGCACTACGAAAGTACTGAATTCTATGACGTCATTGATTTTGATGTACTTCCTGTTGCGGCTTGTTAATGCAATTAGCAAGGTAAAACAGTCAGAGCACAAAAATGGCTGCTTCCATGGAGATTGAAATAACCTTGATTGCTGAAGAAAATAAAGCGTATAATATAAAATAATATAATATAATGAAATTATTATGATATTATATAATATTATGAAATTATTTATTATTATTAATTTTTTTATTATTATTAATTATTTATATATATATATATATTATATATAATAAATTATATTTTTTTAATATTAGACATGCCATCCATTATTTCAATTAGAGTTTCAGAAAACATACTGCGTTCCGCTTTAATAATCTTGAAGCAGTTAGAAGACGCAACAAAACTAAAATAGAGCAATAGCCGCAGTACACTTCCATTACGTCATAGCAAGAGCACTCGGAGTAAATAAAGGCACGCACCCCTAGGTAGACGCCTTTTATCCTCCAAAGCTGGACCGCCACGAATAATCTTCTTCTCCTCAATCGTCCTTTCCTTAGTGGATCCCCCGAAAAGGTTCTCCTCTCCCCCCTCCTCAAACTGGATAGAGGGGAGAAGAATAAACTTCTCAATTTCTCTTCCTTCTTTCTATCTCTCTTCCTTTTCCTCTTCACCATCTGGCTCCATTCAGACTCGGTGTCCGTAACAGACGGAACAGCCAAGGTTGAAATCAGCTGGGCACCCATCTTTGTTCCTCCACCAACTAGAGACTTCTTTCTGACACTCGAGATTACTTCACTAAACTTCCTTTTATTTTTTGCAGTACTGTCGGTATAAGAGAAGGCTCAATAGACTTCTGACTCCTGTCACAACTAGGGGATAAATCAAGAAACCCTTGTTCCTTAAAGGTAAGTATTACTTCCTTGGAAATAGTTTTAATCAATTCCTTCTTATCTTCTAGGAACCAACCGGAATGACATTGGGTTGCCTCGTCCTTATTCTTCATCAAAACTTCCTTTTGAGTAGCAGATTGATTTATCAGATAATACCTTCTTCTTCAATTATTCTCTTTAATTATTCACTTATTCTCCGTTTCCAGTTTAGCAACTGCCGCAAGGTTCTTATTCTCCTTTTTAATGATAAGTATTTCTCGCTCGAACCTTTGAATGATTTTAACATCCGCCTTGGCAATATTGGCTTTATCAGCCAGAACACCCATGATATTTCTGATCCTCTCGAGATATACTACAGTCCTTCCCGCTAGACGAGCCTGAGTCTTTCGAGATTTTTTATTAATATTCTTTAGGCCATCAATCAGGATACTAATCAAATTCTGCAAGCTACCTGTAGACATTCTAACTTCCATAGGCTCTCTCAAAGGTGGGGAATTTTCCTCAAGAGATACCGTTCTTGCTCTAATGTCTCTAAACACAGATTTCCTATTACTTTTTTCGGGGCGAGATTCAGCAGCCGAAGATGAGTCATCGTTCCAAGAGTTAATCATGTCCATTTTACGTAGGCTTAGACATCTGCGCTTGAGCTAAGACTCCTCGCCACGTGTCTGCCGCTCTATCATCCTGCTAAGTGTGGAACTAGGAGACATCATTGTGTCCTGACTACACGTTTTCACCTCCTCCATAGGAATGGGAATTCGCTGAAGGCGAACCTTCACTTGTTTGCACCCTATTATTCTCAGCTTCGAAGAAACCGAAGAATCATTCATAATCGTATGCATGAGCACCGCCATAGTCGTCAACGTGAGAGATCCGTCCTTGGTTTTTGTAAAAAATACTGCCGAGTTCATGTAGTGGATTTGCAGTTCGCCCATCATGGGGACACTATCGCGATAGGGTCCCTAATGGGCGAACCACAGATCTATTATTAGATATACAAAAAAGTTCTGAGCTTTTTTTTTGTAAAATTCAATTTTTATTCAAAAACAAACAAAAAATATTAATCAGCGAAATATTCCCCGTTTGCATCAACGACCTTTTGCCATCTTTCTCTGGTAGCTTGCGAATTCCTTGACGATAGAAGCTCACCGGCTTCGAAGCGATAAAGTCATCAATGCATTTTCGTATCTCTTCAAATCTCACGAAATGTGTATCAGCTAAATGATGCTGCAGACCGGAATAGGTAGTAATCGGAAGGCGCCATGTCTGGGCTATACGCCGCGTGCGGGAGAAGTTCCCAGCCTAACGCAAAGATATGGTCCTGAGTCGCTTTCGCAACATGTGGTCGAGCATTGTCATGAAGCAAGATCACTTTACGACGTCCTTGGCCAGTAAATGGCCTCTTTTCTTCTAATGCATCGCTCAAATTGGTCAATTGTTGTTGGTAGCGATCTGCCGTGATTGTTTCATCCGGTTGTAACAACTCGTAATACAATACATCTTTCCAATCCCACCAGATACAGAGCAAAATCTTCTTGGCATGGCCATTGGGGCTTTGGCGTCGATGTCGAAGGTTGACCAGGGTCAACCCATGATTTTATACGTTTAGGGTTATCATAAAGAATCCACTTTTCATCGTCTGTAATGATTTTGTGCAGAAAATCTTTTTTCCGGAACTTTAAAAGCAAAGTGAGTGCAGTGTCATGCCGACGATTTTTATTGTCTTCGGACAATTCATGCGGAACTCATCTGCCTTCCTTCTGAACCTTTCCCATCGTATGTAAACGTACGGAAATGATTTGCTGCGTAACGCCAAGCTGTTCTGCAAGCTCTTTTTCAGTTTGCGCAGAGTTTATATCCAGCAGTGCTTGCAATTCGTCCGTTTCAATCTTTTGAGAGCGTCCAGCACGCGGTTTATCTTCAAGACTGAAATCTCCTTGGCGAAATTTTTGATACCATCTTTTACATGTAGTATGATTTACAGCATTCTCTCCATATGCAGCACAAATCATTGCAGTGGCTTTAGCAGCATTCTTCTTCAGATGAAACGCGAAGTGGATGGAAAATCGAATATGCTCTTTTATTATTGCCATCGTGAACACTACTTTTTGAGGTTATGTGCATCAAACGCCAAACATATGGCATTTTAGAAGGCCAAATGTCAACGCTTTAAAACCGCAAAAGGGCGGGAAGATATATAAAATTTAAATTGTTATTTCGGTTGTATGAAATCTAAAACTCAGAATTTTTTTGTACACCTAATATGCGACCTAAGGATTACTTCTCCGCTTAAATAAAACTCTAATAAAGAATACAGAAGCGGCTTATCGGGCTGGCCATACCCTATCTGCACTGTAAAATGATTCTACAAAATTCTACAAAAAAGATTACGGGGGTTATAGGCCCGCGCCATATATGATGCTAAAGGTTTTACCCCTATCACTCGGACCTATACTCATCCGAAAGACGAACATCCGAGCTTCAGGCTAGACGGTACCGTGATTTACCCTACATGGCTCCGGGTATCGAGAAATACCGATCCAGTAATCCCGCACACGTTCGTCTTTCAGCTGCCTTCAACCCCGATATAGGCTCCGTTCGGTGAGAGGAGAGCGGTTTTCCCACAATATGCTTGAGGGGTTCGCGGGATTTTTGCCTACGACATTCTGAAGAAGGTCGCAAGACTTACGATTATCCTTATTACTATCCTCAGAGGCTCGGAGACTTTATCTCCTCATCACGGTCGGGGGGCTACCATTCTCCCCTTAATCTATCAGGAATATCTGGCAGCATTCCATCGTACCTCATTCATCACGCAAACACTCATTCCCATTCACACTAGCAGGTACTTCAGGTTCCGTACTGCCTCTCCCAAAGGACGAGACAGACCCTAAGGGAAATCCTATATATTATAACTTAACCTAATTTAACCTATCTATCTATCTTTATATGTATGTATTTAGACCGCAGATAATTAAAAAAAATTAATTTTTATGTCACCAATTCTGAATTTATTTTCAGATGCAAAGAATTCCTTGCATCTGGGTATATAGTGTATATACAAACGTGAGCGAGATATACTCGTACAAACTGAAAATATGTTAATAATATTTTGTAGATATCCTGGTATGTACTGTAAGATATTTTCAGTATTTATTACGAATATTTATTTACTACGAATCGCTGTAGAGCGATCATAGGTAATTACTGAGTATATACTTCATATATCGTAGTACGTATATCGAATTTTTTGAGAATATTAGCAATATACTATCATGATATTCTTCGAAGATTCTCAGATGTTACTTGTTCCATTAGGGTGTTTTCCAAATAATCCTGAAAGAAAAAAGTTATGGATTACTAATATAGACAGAGCTGATTGGAAGCCTATAATTTATTCATTTATATGTGAAGTAAGTAATAAGATTTATTTCTTATGTATTATAAAAATAAAAACGATAAAAATTTGTTATAGATACATTTTGCTAATGAAATAAATAAATTTCTTAGAAAATGATTATTTTATTTATGTGATAAAATTTTCGTTCTGTTGTATATTTTTATATTTATACCATTATATTACATTGTATATTACATAAATTGCATCACACAATGTACTTCCACTAAAAGTACATTTCCCAAAACATGGTATACAACATAGTGTATATGTATATATATATATATGTATATATATATATATATATATATATATATATATATATATATATACTACACACACACACACTACACTA